GTTTCGTTCTTCCACGTGGAAGACGTAACTATCTTTCTGAAAAACCGGAAGTTCGTCATTTTCATCCGTGATTTTTACGACTACTTCCGCTTCCGATGACAACGACATTGGCTGTCCGTGATCACGTGCAACAACGAAAAATCGATATTCATCTTTGAATTCTCGGTCGAATATTACGAGATTCTCCAGCGAGCCGGTGTTCGGGTCGAGCATGAAGAGTTTCATCGCGTCGCTATCATTCGCCAGGCTGGAGACGTTGCTATTTTTATTTGATTTCAAACTTGAAAACTTCGAATGAAAATTATTTCGACTTGTAACTTCGCTATGAATGATTGATTCGGGCAAAGACGTTGTAACTTCCGGTCTGCTTTGTTTACTTTTAAACTCCTGCGGAATTGGATTTTTCATGAGGTACGTGACGCGTCCATTCTGACCGGTATCCTGGTCGGTTGCTGTGACAGCTCCGATCGAACCGTACTTGGCTCGATTCTCTCGAACCGAAAATTCGTACCGAGACTTTTCAAATTTGGGCCTATTGTCGTTTTCGTCCAGCACGCAAACGGTCAATTCCACCGATGACGTCAAACGAGTTAGAAGAGGTGATGGTGACGATGAGGATGGAGAGGAGGATGACGTCATCAATGATGACGATGATGAACCCGGATTATCGGAGCAAACGATTACGAGGGTATGCTTGCTCGACAGCTCCCTATCGAACGAAACCAAAGTTGAAATTTTAAACTCAGACGAGCGGGTAAATTTTGGCGCGAAAAATATTTGCGACTGTTGGATCCTGCACTCCATCTTCCTTCGCCTCCTACTCCTGGAACTTTCTTCCTCGCTGTCGGCGCTGATTTCCTGGATAACTTTCCTATCGCTGTCATCACTACTGACGTCATCGTCGTCATCTTCGTCGTCGTCATCACGGTCGGAGACAGAAACGTAAGCCACAAACGCTCCAGGTGGCGCATTTTCAATCACGTGAGCATCTCCGTCTGACGTCATCGTCCTGACGCTGATTTCCGGTTTGTTGTCGTTGACGTTTTGGACTCTGACGACGACGGAGGCATGTGCGGGAAGAGGATTCGAACCCCGGTCCGTCGCTGTCACAGTGAATATGTGCACCTGTAGATGTGAGGGGTTGTAATTGTTATCTCGATCGTTTTTGTCTCCACTCAATATTGTTGTTGTTTGTGTTGTTGTTGTTTGTGTTGTCAGCAACAACAACATCAACAACAACAACAACAACGACATCAACAACAACCCAAACAACAAACAACAACGAAAATCCAACCAACATACTACAACAATATCAACAACAACCCAAACAACTCAAACAACAGAAATAACGACTCAAACAACAACAGCAAAATAACAATTTTCCCACCTTCTTTGTTTCGTAATCCAGGTTGGATTTCAGGAAAATCTTTCCGGATTGAGGCTTGACGCCAAAGTAGATGGACGACTCGGAGTGAAACTGGTAGGAAAGGGAGTAGTGAACCAGGGAGTTCAAGCCCTGATCTCGATCGTTCGCCCTCACGGTTATTATCGTCGTTCCAATCTAGGTCAAGTTGGCCCCGAAAAAAAATTGGGTCAGGTTTGGTGGTGGTGGTGGTGGTGGTTATCACCTCATTAGTTTAATTAAAATAAGTATGCCAAGTGAATTAAATAGGTCAGGTTTAAATTGAGTTGGTCGAGGCTTAAAGGGTCAACTGTGCTTGAAATATGTCAAATTGTAATAAATAAAATCAAAGTGGAGGCAAAAAAATTATGAATAGATTATGATAATTACCTGGGCGTTTTCCGGCACGATGACGTCATAAGTAGCCTTTTCAAAAATCGGGCTGTTGTCGTTCGTGTCAAGAACGACTATGTCGATGACGCAACTTCCGGTTTGGTGACCGCCGTCCATGGCGTAGATGATCAGCTGATTGGTTGGTTGGTTGGTTGGTTGGTTGGTGGTTGGTTGGTTAGTTAGTTGATGAGATTGATTGGTTGGTTTTTTGATTAGTTGGTTATTAAATATATCTTCATGAAAAATTGAACCATAGAGAGCTTGTAAAACTAAAAATAATGAAATCCTATATGGGTTGTTATGTGTTGTTTTTATTGTTAAACATGATGCTCATATTGTTGTTAGTGTTATTAATGTTACTGATGTTGTTGTTGTTGTTGTAGTTGTTGTAGTTGTTGTTGTTGTTGTTGTTGTTGTTGTTGTTGTTGTTGTTGTTGTTGTTGTTGTTGTTGTTGTTGTTGTTGTTGTTGTTGTTGTTGTTGTTGTCAATACTGATGTTGTTGCTAAAAGTGTTGTTGTCGTTGTTGTGACTGTTTTATGTTTGTAATTTTTTACTTGTAGTTCAATTTTTGAAGCTCTTTTCAATGGCGTGGCTGTCTAAAACATTCAAGATATTGCAAAGATCTCTGCTACTAAAAAAACACACACACAAACATACATACAAACAAACATACATACATACATACATACATACATACATACATACATACATACATACATACATACATACATACATACATACATACATACATGCATACATACATACATACATACATACAAACATACATACAAACAAACAAACATACATACATACATACATACATACATACATACAAACATACATACATACATACATACATACATACATGCATACATACAAACAAACAAACAAACAATCAAACATACATACATACATACATACATACATACATACATACATACATGCATACATACAAACAAACAAACATACATACAAACATACATACATACATACATACATGCATACATACAAACAAACAAACAAACATCACATACATACATACATACATACATGCATACATACAAACAAACAAACAAACAAATAAACAAACATACATACATACGAAAAAATTCGCTAGACACGCGTCAATTAAACAAAATTGAAGAACTAAACAAACATAAAACACCGAACATTCGAATACAAACATACAAACAAACATGCAAACAAACATACAAACATACAAACAAACAAACAACCTTGTAAACATCAACGTTCTCTCGGTCTAATTTACTTCTTAATTTCAATTTAACATCACTTCTGCCGTCAGCGCGCTCTTCAACAACTAATTCAAATGGGTTGTTGTTGTTGTGGTTGTTGTTGTTGCTACTGCTGCTACTGCTGATGTTGTTGTCGTTAGTGACAGCCGAAATAATGCTTCGAACTGCTTTATGCTGTTTCGAAGGTCTTAAGCTTTGATTGCGAGTTCCACTGAATTGTTGCAGTTGTTGTTGTTGTTGTTGACGTTGTTGTTGTTGTTGCTGCTGCTGTCGTAACTGCGCTAGCCTCATATTAGCAGTGTAAGAAGAATTGTTGACCTGCTTTAAGTGGTGGGTGACATCATCGTCACCATCATCGTCATCATCGTCGTTGTCGCTATTATTATTGTTGTGGTTTCTGTTGTTGTTAATATTATTATTATTGTTGTTATTATTATTATTATTGTTGTTATTATTATTATTATTGTTGTTGTTGTTATTATTATTGTTGTTGTTATTATTATTGTTGTTGTTCGGCGACCTTTTAGTCATTTTTCGGCCATCACCGTTACCCTCCACCCTTCCCCATCCAGTCCCGCCAATCATCTCGCCATTGATCACGTGACGATTTTTATTATTATTATTATTGTTGTTGTTGTTATTATTATTGTTATTGTTACTGTAGTCATCATTATCATAACGATCGTCTGACCTGTGCATAGAAACAAATCCCATGGTGTATATCTGGATGCCGTATCTAGGACTGCATTATTATTAATATTATTATTTTTATTTCTATTATTATTATTATTATTATTATTATTATTATTGTTGTTGTTGTTGTTATTATATTATTATTATTATTAGTAGTAGTAGTAGTGGTAGTAGTAGTAGTAGTAGAAGTAGTAGTAGTAGTAAAAGTAGTAGTAGTAATAGTAGTAGAAATAGTAGTAGTTGTATTACCAAATGATCGTTTACATTGTTAAACTTAGCAACAATATCTTTGTAATTTGAATATATATATAGTATTATTTATATAAAAAATTTCCTAATGACAACCACTGACATAATTACAATCATAATAATGAAAAATAATTATAACGAGGGTAATTATAATAATAACAATAATAACGGATGAACTTTGACCTGTCAAGGTCGACGGCGGGTTTAACCTTGAGAACCGTATCAAGGTCGGCAGATTCCGAAATGCTCTTCATAATCGGCGACTCTTCGAATACCGGTACGTTATCGTTAATGTCGAGAATTTCGATTTGGATCTTTATTATCTTTGGTAATTTGTTGTTGTTGTTGTTGTCGTCGTTGTTGTTGTTTTTATGGTTTATGATGATGTTTTTAAGTTTGGTTACCAAAACTTCTACTACTATTATTGCAAATGATGGTGTGTATAATAATAATAATAACAACAGACAACAATAACATCATCAACAACATCAACATCAACTTCAACAACAACATCAACAACAACATCAACAACAACATCAACAACAACATCAACAACAACATCAACAACAACAAAAGCAAGCACAGCATTAAAGATATTCATCCAGCCAACCATCCGACCAGTCAACGTGCTAATTAAATGACTATCAACTACAAACATACATATATACAAACAAACATACATACAAACAAACAAACAAACATACAAAAAAACATACAAACAGACATAGAAACAAACAAGCATACATAAATACAAACAAGCAAATATACAAACATACAAACAAACAAACAAACATGC